TTTATGATGAATTGAAATTGACTTCAATTACCCCTATTCTTAAAAGTGGCAGCAAAAGTGAAGTCTGTAATTACAGACCCATTTCGAAACTTTCAACAATTTCCAAACTTTTTGAAGTTATCGTCAAGGAGAAAATGTATTTCGCGACAAAAAGTCTAGTCTCACCCAATCAACATGGTTTCGTCCCCAACCGATCTACGGTTACTAATCTAGGCGTCTTTAGTGAGTATTATATTGCCGCTATCTCGAACGGTTTCCAAGTCGACTGCATTTACACTGATCTTGCCAAAGCATTTGATAGAGTTTCGCGCAGTTTGTTGGTCAGTAAGCTAGCCGCACTGGGTTTCCACTCAGTATTTTTGCAATGGCTCAAATCTTATTTGTCGGATAGGCGCTGTGTGGTCTCTGTTAGTGGTTGTTCTTCGGAATCTTTCATTGCCTCATCGGGGGTTCCTCAAGGTAGCATTTTAGGTCCCTTACTCTTTGTATTATTTATAAATGATGTGAGTTCTTGTTTTTCATTTGCTAAATTTTTGCTGTATGCTGACGATTTAAAAATGTTTGCTGTGATTGAAAACGCGCATGATGCGCTAAGACTTCAGTCCGAGATTAATATTCTACACAACTGGTGTCTCAGCTCTCGCCTTTCTCTGAATATTAAAAAATGTTTTCAAGTTACTTTTTCCAAAAGTCACAATATTCTTTCGACGTCTTATGTAATCTCTCAAACTCAACTTCAAAAAGTCCAAGAAATCAAAGACCTTGGTGTAATTTTCAGCTCTAATTGGTCTTCTAACAGTCATATCAGTCACATCATTTCTAAATCTTACGCTGTACATGGTTTCCTCAGGCGTCAGAGCTCAATGTTCTCTGACCCCTATACACTTAAATTGTTATACACATCTTTTGTTCGTTCTAAGTTAGAATATGCTTCTTTTATCTGGAGGCCATACCACTCAAACCTAATTAATAGGATTGAAAGGGTTCAGAAGGTTTTTCTTAAATTTGCCCCCAGAAATCTTAACTTCAGCGAGCCTATTCCATCGTATAAGTCTCGTTTGCTATTAATAGACCTTAAATCTCTGGAAGCCAGAAGATCTTTGCTATCTCTAACTTTCACCTTTAACTTAATAAATGGTGTGATCGATTGCCCTACGCTCCTAGAGCAGGTCAACTTCAATGTTCCTCTAAGGAATCTGCGCAGTCCTCTGCCGTTTTTTGGAGGAAATGGCAAAACGGAGTATGCCAGAAATGCTCCTTTTTCAAGAGCTTTAAACGAATTCAACACGATCTCGAATTCTATCGACCTGGATTTCTCTCTTCCAAAAAGTTTATTTATTTTTTGTTTGATCTCGAAACTGTAGAGTGCTTTATGTTTTACACGTATCGTCTAAGTAGCTAAATTTTTATCTCTAGTCTGTAAGGAACGTCTGTTTCATATGACTGCAATAAATTACAATTACAATTATATATATAGTACGTATACCAAATTAAAGGGAGTCAAATTTCCTATTGAATGAAATTTTACACAATCCATCCATTGGTTTTTAAGAAATCTTGATTTCAAAAATACCTTATTTTGAACTTTAACTTTTGAATAATTCTTGTTGTTGTTGTTTCCTCAAAAAAGGAAGTACACCGTTGTACTCAGCTCGAGAAATGTTTAGTAGCGCTCAATTCGTTTTTGGGTGGGGGGCGTATGTGGACGGGGAGGGGCCAAACAACCCCCCCCCCCCCCCCCCCCCTAGAAAGGGGACAGACCCCGCTGTCTAAAAAGGGGTGCCCCCCTTGGGCTCCTCCCACAGGCCCCTAGGGAACCGTTTGAAAAAGGGGGAAAACGGAATTTTCTTAGGCAAACCCTCCATTCGAAAGGAGACAGCCCCCGCTTTACGAAAAGTCACACCCCCCCCCCTTCCTTCGGGGCCTCCCACAGACCCCTGGGGAACCATTTGAAAATGGGCGAAAAACAGCATTTACCGACGGAAATTGAGCAGTTTGATGTGGAATATAACCCAACTAACAGAATCTGTGGGGTTTTTAAATAAAAGAAGTTATCCCAAGGTGGTTATCAGGCGAAAGAAGGGGGACTGAACACCTTTCGCAGAGAACATCTTTGTGCGTAGGCGGCCTTCGGCCGCACTTAGGGATTATAACCCTCAGGCAGTAGAATTCTCCTTTCTGTGTAGCCAAAGAAGGGGGGCTGAACACCTTTTGCAGAGAACACCTTTCTGCGTAGGCGGCCTTCGGCCGCACTTAGGAATTATAGCCCTCAGGCAGTAGAATTCTCCTTTCTGTGTAGCCAAAGGAGGGGCTGAACACCTTTTGCAGAGAACACCTTTCTGCGTAGCCGGCCTTCGACGGCACTTAGGGATTATAACCCTCAGGCAGTAGAATTCTCCTTTCTGTGTAGCCAAAGAAGGGGGGCTGAACACCTTTTGCAGAGAACACCTTTCTGCGTAGCCGGCCTTCGGCCGCACTTAGGAATTATAACCCTCAGGCAATAGAATTCTCCTTTCTGCGTTGCCAAAGAAGGGGGGCTGAACACCTTTTGCAGAGAACACCTTTCTGCATAGGCGGCCTTCGGCCGCACTTAGGGATTATAACCCTCAGGCAGTAGAATTCTCCTTTCTGTTTTGCGAAGAAAAGGAGCTGAACACCTTTTGCAGAGAACACCTTTGTATATTTTTAATGCTTACTGGGTTATATCCTATCTTCTTTTGTCTCTCATTCTTTTGCATATTTTGGAGTTTGACAGCTGAACTACGCCATTTAATTTGCATATGCAACCAAAGTCAGACGAATGATTTAGAAGGTGTTTTTATTTAATAAATTGTGATTAATAGATTAATATTAATGTTATAAAGAAAGTTATAACTCATCGAGTAAAGTGTAAAGTGAAGGAGAATATAAAAATATATTGCTGAAGTAGCTGCTTTAAGGAGAATAGGAGTGATACATTTACGCTAATTTCCGAATTTTACAAAAAAGGGCATATTTCTAACCCAATTTGTAAATAAATTAGTGACCAAAAATTACAAAAAAGGGTGTTAAAATAATGTTGAGACCCTTGGCTACAAGCGTGTGCAAATTTTTTGGATCGGGTCACCCCGTTGGACGCAATACCTCGAAATAGATCGGCAACGTACTAAACCGTACCCCAAAAATGAATTGGTGAAGTGGCTGGGTGCTCTTACTGAATTTGTACAACGATTTTGGGTTGCTGTGCCCAAACGCGTGAATCGAATAAAAAACCTTTTACACACACTTGTAGACGACAGTTCTCGCTTTATTGCAAAAATAAAATATACTATATCTGTGCACTAATTTGTTAATAATGTCGGTTGGAAATATGGTATTTTTTTTTGCAAGTTTCCGAGCTGAGCTGTCAAAAAAAAATATCCACGAAATATCTCTGCAGAAGGTGTTCAGCCCCTCTTCTTTAGCAAAAAATAAAGGAGAATTCTACTTAGCTACTGCCTGAGGGTTATAATCCCTAAGTGCGGCCGATGGCCGCCTACGTAGAAAGGTGCTCTGCAAAAGGTGCCCCTCTTCTTGGGCAACAGAGAAAGGAGTAGTGAGGGCTATAATCGTTTTGAAAAAAATCCAAATTTCCGCTGTTTCCGTTCCCAAGTGGTCCTTAGGAGGGGCAGGGGGGTGAGAGGTGACTTTTCATAAGCGGCTAAAGATTTCCCACGTGGCTGCTTTAAGAAGAATAGGAGTGATAAATGTACGCTAATTTCGAATTTTACAAAAAAGGGCATATTTCAAACCCAATTTGTAAATAAATTAGTGACCAAAATTTACAAGTGAGTGTCAAAATAATACGTAGACCCTTGACTACAAGTGTGTGGAATTTTTTTAGGAAATGTTTAGTTATTTGCAGGTCGTTTTTGGGGGGCGGAGGGGGTGTGGCGTGGCCCCCTAAATCCCCCCCATTCGAAAGGGGCAGCCACCAATTTACTAAAAGTTGCACCCCCCCTACGGGGCCTCCCACAGACCCCTAGGGAACCGTTTTAAAATTGGCGAAAAACAGCATTTACCGGGGGAAATTGAGCAGTTTGAAGTGGAATATAACCCAACTGTAGTGTTAATACTATTTACTATTGTACTTTGTTCATTTTTATACTTTGTTATTTTTGAAATTATTGAATTAAATTCTTTTTCAATTTATGTAAATCAAAAAGAATATTTTTGATTACTTCAGAATTTTTTCTTCTTTGAAATTTAAAATACGTTAAATTAAAATTACGCTTATATAAAAATAAATTTTTTAAAAAATACAATTCTATAATTAAATACGCTACAATTGGCGACCCTGCCAGGAGCAATATAAGAAATTACATTAAGCTGATATATTGATTTTGTACACTTGGTTTGTTGCTCCGCGGTACCAGTCCACAGATGATGAGATGTTACACCAAAATGTTGAAGTGCAATTCGTCGTAATAGTCAGCAGTGAAAAAGAGTAGCACCATTGCGAGCAGCTGGCATATTCCAACACGCACTACTACCACCACCGTTATCACCACCACTTGAATCACAGCAGCCGCAACATCAGAAAGCAATATCCCCATTGCCTTTTGTTGAAGATCAGCAATCACAATTAGTAGAGCAACAACAGCAACAGCTTCAAACGCACCAATGCGCATTCAACGACACTAGCACAATTGCCGATATCATTGATGCATCTGCATTAGAAGCAGTCACTGGAGAAGCTATTTTCAGTGCTGATATTGCATCAACCAGTCAACAACAACCACATAACCAGCAGCAGCAGCAGCGTTCTCAAGATCAAGAACAGCAACCGGAAAGTTTGAGCGGTGCTCAATGCTCCTCTTTGAGCGTAATAGGAGAAGTTCCAGCTGGTGGTAGCGCATTAACAGAACGAAAAAAAATATCTCCAACATCACTGCCATTGCTGCTGCAGGAGGAAGAAGACGAAGAAGCGGACACAGGCAACGAGGCTAGAGCATCGAAGTCACCCGCAGCAGTAGCGGCATCAGCAGCGACCGCAGCAGTAGCGCTAACATCAACAACAATCTTAGTTTTACTGGTGAGCTGTATTGTATAACTTTAGCGCTAGTTTTGTTGAAAATAATTAAATACAGAGTTTAATTGTTATTTATTAAATATTACATATATAATATTTAATTTTTTAATTGTAAACTTCCCTTTTCTGAGGTCTTTTGATATTTGCTCAAATTCAAATAATCAAAATGTTTCGTTCACCACAACATGATACACATACATCTACACGAGATAATTTAAATGAAACTCTTATTGATTTACAAAATAGTACGTGTAATGAATAGTTAACAAATCCGTATGTCGATCGAAATAGTAATGAGATTTGTGCTACATCGGTCAAACTACCACAATTCTGGACAAGTTGTCCGGAAGCGTGGTTTATTCATGCGGAAATGCAGTTTAGTACCAAAAATATTACACAAGAAACAACAAAGTATGAACATACAATTACTGCACTTCCGCAAGAAGTTATAATAACGATTTTAGACTTTATTCAAAATCCGCCCGAAAATAATAAATTTACCTCACTTAAGAAAATTTTAATTGAAAGGCATTCATTAAGTGAGAATGCGAAATTAGACAAAATTTTATCGGATACTGAAATGGGGTGATTGTAAGCCCTCAGAATTTTATCGGTCGCTTGTACTGCTTTCGGGTTCCAATTTTAGTCAAGAAATTCTTAAGAAACTTTGGATGAGGAAGTTACCGAAGAACCTAAGCGTGATTTTAGCTAGTTCTAATTCAAGCAGTATTAGTGAATTGACGAAATTGGCTGATAATGTTTGGGAGATTATTAGCAAAAGCGAGATAGCTTCAGTTAATGATTTTCAAAATTCAAAAGGTGAAAATGCAGTCATGGCTAACTTGGTTAACACTACTTCTCTTATTTTTAAAAATTTTGAAAAACTTTCTTTGGAATTATGTGAAATGAGGAGGGAAATGAATCAAAATTATTCAAGGTCACGTTCAGTGAATAGGAATCGTTTTAGGAGCCCTTTTAGATATCGATCAAAATCACGCGACAATCCGAATTGGTTATGTAGATATCATTATAAATTTGGAAACAAGGCTAAAAAATGTGAACAACCATGTGCATTTTCAAAAAATAATAGTCCAACAAACTAAAGTCGTCCGTTGTTGCGGCGACAAACAACGGGAATTTGGACATTTCCACACGTCGCCTTTTTATATTTGATAAAACAAACAAACTAAATTTTTTAATTGATAGCGGAGCAGAAATTTCGGTACTTCCAGTTTCTAAATTTTCGAATACTAGGAAATCTTCAGATATAATTTTAACGGCAGCTAACGGCTCAACTATTGTTACATACGGGAAGAAACTTTTGAATATTAATTTTGGGTTTAAGGCGTGAGTTCCTTTTTACATTTTTGATTGCTGATATTGCGAAGCCGATTATAGGAGCTGATTTTTTGTGTAAATATGGACTTCTTGTTGATATTAAAAACAAGTGTTTAGTAGATCCGTTAACAAATCTATCAGTTAATACAATTTCGTACTTTTGCAATGTCCCTCTTCCGAAAATTTTTTCAGTAGATGATCCATGAACGAAAGACACAAGATCACGCGGGAAGGAAAGAACGAAAAAAGTTATTTTCTAGCTGCCGAAATCTCGACGCCATCTTTGTTGTAAGAAGTAAACAACGAAGAGAACGGAGAAAACCGCGAAATTGTTGAACGCATGAAAAATCATTTTTATTATGCAAATTCTTCTATAAATCATGCCGTTGTATTAAATTATTCTTTATCTTATGTGTACACACGTTGTCACAAGCGAAAATTAATAAAATTGCAGTAAAAAGCCACCACCAAATTGTAAACAACGAAGAAATGTAAATAAACGGCTAATGTCAAAGTCGCCCAACTTTTTTCCTAAATGCGATTCTAACGGGCTAGTCTCCAGCCCGCGTGATCTTGTCTTTTTGGTTCATGTAGATGATCAATATACAAAATTATTGAAGGAATTTCCTTCCCTTATTTCTGAGCCAGATTACTCAAAACCGGTTAAGCATACAACGGTTCACAGACTTGTCCCTGAAGGAAACCTTCCTTTTTCTAAGCCAAGGCGCTTAGATCCTATCAAATTTAAAGTAGCTAAAACTGAATTCGATTTTTTGGTAAAAACAGGGATTTGTAGACCATCAAATTCATCCGTGGCATCTCCACTTCATTTAGTACCAAAGAAAGAAGTTAATGACTGGCGTCCTTGTGGTGATTTTAGAAGACTTAATAATGTGACTGTACCGGATCGTTATCCTTTGCCTCATATTCACGATTTTAATATGAACCTTAGGAATAAAAATATATTTTCAAAGTTAGATTTAGTTAGAGCGTATCACCAAATTCCAATGGCAGAAGAAGACATTTTTAAAACGGCGATTACTACTCCTTTCGGTATGTTTGAGTTCACCCGAATGCCCTTCGGGCTGAGGAACTCAGCGCAAACGTTTCAGAGATTCATCAACGAAGTAGTAGGTAAATTAGATTTTGTTTTCGCGTATATTGATGATCTACTGGTTGCAAGTGAGAGTGAAGAACAACATTTAAAGGATCTACGGGTACTTTTCGAACGTTTGTCTGAGTATGGTTTGAACGTCAAACCAAGCAAATGCATTTTTGGTGTTCCAAGTATAGATTTTTTAGGACATTGTTTATCTGAGGCAGGGATACAGCCTTCTGTAAACAGAGTAGAAGCGATTCGCAATTTTGAACGACCGAAGTCAATAAAACAAGCGCAAAAGTTTATTGGTATGGTTAACTATTACCATAGATATATTTCAAAATTAGCTGGTTTTACTGGAGTTATATATGATTTAATTAATAAAGCAAGTAAAAAGCGAGACAAAATTTTGGTTTGGGATGACAAATCCATTAAAGCTTTTGAATGCATTAAAAAGAAGTTTGCATCTAAGATTTTGCTAAATCATTTTAGTAAAGATGCAAAATTGTCTTTAACGGTAGATGCATCCAATACAGCAATTGGTGGTGTCATACAGCAGCATTTCAATAATAAGTCTGACCCACTTGCGTTCTTTTCAAAGAAACTCTCTCCAGCGGAAATGAAATATAGTGCTTTTGACAGGGAAATTTTAGCAATTTATTTGAATATTAAACATTTTCGGTATTTATTAGAAGGAAGACAGTTTACGGTTTTTACTGACCACAAACCCTTGATTTTTGTTCTAAATTCCAAAACTGAGCGTAGTCCAAGACAGACAAGGCATCTTGATTTTATTGCACAGTTTACTAGTGACATACAGTATATTAAAGGACAGACCAACATTGTAGCTGACACGTTATCTCGTGCGTTTGAAATAGATGTGATTAAAAATTCAGAACTTAATTTCAAAATTTTACAGAGTGAACAGCAACAGGACAGTGAACTTAATACTCTTATTTCTGGACAAACGTTTCAAAATCTTAATTTAATTAAAATTCCTATTCTAAATTTTAATATTTGGTGTGAAGTGTCAGGAGAAAGTCCTAGACCGTTCGTTCCAAATAATTTGCGCAGGACAGTGTTCGATATGTTACATGGAATTGCTCATCCTGGTACCAAGGCTACACGCCGATTAATTGTGAAGAAGTATTATTGGCCTTGTATGAACAAGGAGATAAACATATGGTCAAAAGGATGTATAAGTTGCCAGAAATCTAAAGTTTATCGTCACACAAAATCTCCTGTGAGCACAATTCCAATTCCGAAGAGCAGATTTGAACATATACATTTAGATATTGTTGGACCGCTTCCTGTTTCAAGAGGTTACCGCTACATTTTAACAATTATGGATAGATTTACTCGTTGGCCGGAAGCATATGCTGTAAAGGATATCTCTGCACAGACAGTTGCAAATAAATTTTTTAATGAATATGTTTCGCGTTTCGGTGCGCCTTTAGAAATCACGATGGATCAGGGTACTCAATTTACGTCCAAATTATTTTCGGAACTTACTAAATTACTTGGTAGTCATCATATCACAACTTCTTCCTATCATCCTCAAAGTAATGGTATTGTGGAACGATTCCATAGACAATTGAAAACTTCAATTTTGGCTAGGAATGGAACTAGATATTGGTACGATGAGCTACCGATTATTCTTCTTGGTTTGCGTTCAGTGTACAAAGAAGATATTGCAGCCACTCCAGCTGAAATGCTTTTTGGCCAAAATTTGCGTCTACCTGGAGAACTTGTTGTGCCAACTACAGAAAATGTTACTTCTGCCGAAATTTTAGGAAGTTTACGGGAACGTTTTAAAAACTTTAATTCAAATTTAAAACATCACAAAAATTCCGATTCAGGAATTTATGTTCCAAAAGATTTACAAACTTGCAAATTTGTTTTTATTCGCATTGTTAACAAGCATTGGGTGGAGTTTAGTACCGCTCACAACTATTTCGGGCTATTCCGTCCAAATGGGTGGCCCGATCCAAAAAAAATTTCACACACTTGTAGTCAAGGGTCCACGCAATATTTTAACACTCACTTTTGTAAATTTTGGTTACTAATTTATTTACAAATTGGGTTTGAAATATGCCCTTTTT